CAAGTACTGACCTCCCCTTCACGGGGGAGGCCACCTCACAGTTTCAGGTAGAACTTGAAGGTTGCTACCGGCGCCCGTTGCTTCGGGGATATGCAAAGGAGAAGACGTGGTTCGTGCTTCTTCTGTTTCCTGTTTTCAAAATAATTATAACAATGCTCATGGATATTATTTTTGAACAATTACTTTGGGGGCTTGTATGCCTAGTTATGCCAAGTGTGGCTTGAACAATTGTATTAATGCTTCCGCTGTTTTAAATGAATGTTTTACATTGTGTTTGTTTATGGATGTATTATGTGTGAATGATATTCATGACGCCTTGTATAGTATGGATGAGTTGGACTACGGTTGACTATTCGTACTGTACGGCGGGTTGTTGACGTGTTCGGCTAGGTCCGGGGCGTGACACTGGGGGACTACACCAGTCCCTGAAATGCAAGAAAGGAAAAAATTAAAAATCCAAAAACACACCAAGTTCACAACTACAACAACATTATGGCATATATGCACCATAACGTCCAGGACCTTGTGGTGCACCCTCGGCCGTAACAAAGTCGACAAACAAAGAAGTATAACTCACCTCCCAAAACGTGATGCGTGTCGTCCCTTGATGCATGCCACTCAATGGCTTTAAGATCACGTACTCCACTCTCGGCCAAGATGAGAAAACGGGAACACAACATCCTCGGGTCATCATCGTCCATAAGATCAAAATACGCACTCCTTCTGGATCAGTGTCGTTATCATCCTCAAAGATGGACACCAAACTACGAATATCATCACTTCGGCCTGAAGTACGAAAGCAATCATGAGGCCTCCTCAGCCAAAACACAAAAAGCAACCGCCAACGACCAGAAAGAAGAAACACCACCCTCATCGGCTATTCAAATAAAGGACGCATATCGGCCAGGACACTCATCATCCTCAAACAAACAAACGTGCACCATCAGAGGAACATCAGCCTTCTTCGTCCACAACGAGGCGCATACAACGGCCAAACGCGAAGAACCTAAACAGGAGACGGCCACATCGGCTAGAAAACACCGAGACTATGGAATCTACTCTCCCTCACTTCGTCTGCATCTCAGCTCAGAGAGTGGGAGACTCCTGATGGAGTATATGGGCCTGGACCCCAGGACCCACATACTCAGAAGAATAAGAGGCACAGCTGTCACCCAGTGGGGCCTCCGTCGACCAGATGGCCTTCCATCGGCCAGATAGATATCGACTCAGATTATGATCCAGAAGATAGGAGAACCGGGTGTCACCATCGGCCATGGCTCCGTCGGCCAGACCCTCATCGGCCACAAAGAACTCACAAAACCGGATTCCATACTTAACTATTTCTACATTCTTTGTACTCGGCCAGTAGTGGCCCAATTGTAAGTGGGCCTCCCAAGCCCAAGACTTGAGAGCCCAGCCCTAATTTCCACTATAAATACTCCCCTCGGGAGTAGTTGTGGGGGGTCACAAATAATTAATAGCAAGAATTTTAGGCTTTTTCCATGAATATTACCATATTGAAACTATTTTCCAAAAAAGTGACCATTTTTATAAAAGGACAAAAATGTGACCAAGAAGGTCACATATATGGAAAAACATCATGTCATTGTATTTTATGTCACTGCCTGATTTTTATGTCACTATTGTGTGTCACTATTAGATTTTTATGTCACTTTAGATGGTCACTATAACCGTCGGAAAAATTTCCGACAGCCTTGTCCTGCGAAACTATACACTACCACCAGCACCCCCGCCGACCACATTTTTCATGTCACTGTAGTTTTTTCGTGTCACTATGATTTGTTACTACCGTTTTTCATGTCACTTTCAAATGTCACTGTCCCGGAAAACGTGTCACTGTGTTGCCAAAAAACTTCTCCGACGACATTTTTTCGGTCAAAATGTTAAACAACTTCCATAGTTTCCGCCATCTAACCATAGCCACCGCCATGGATCTAGATCTAGATCTAACCAACGTCACAGATTGGCCTTCGTCAAGGCGAAGCTGGACAGAAAGGGAAGAAAAAGAAGCAAGGTAGGAAGATGACGACAGTGAAAACCACCAATGCGGCTGCTCTGTTATCGGCGCGAGGGAGACGGCTAGCGGAGGAGCGACGGCGATGTCCAGGCAAGCGGAGGAGGCAACGACAATGTCCAGAGGAGCGAAGGAGGTGACGGCGGCGTCCAAAGGAGCGAAGGCGGCGACGACTACTACTTAACGGAGGAGGTTAACCGGTGGATGCTTCTGAGTGGATGTTGCTTGAGCTGCGCGAAGAAGGAAGTCGCAGGGAGCCAGGGAAGTTTAATCGGTCTTTGGACTTGGGCTTTTCTTTTTTAAGGTCACATTTGTGTCAAGATGTAAAGTGGTCATGTTTTTGTCCATTCAAAGTGCCCAGATAATATTTTAGCCATTATTTTAAGAATTTATTGCACTTCACTCTCTAGCTCTCACTTCTCTCTAGGAGTTAATACTCCATCAGGAACTAATTTCAATTTTAGATTGGAACAAATCAAACTAGATTTTAAACAGAATAGACTAGACATTGACAATCCTAAAATACACAATGATCAGACTAGACATTTTCGAGACATAAATACAGAGACAACTACAAGACATATGCATCTTCAAGACATAAATAATACCGAATAGTCTTTCCATCCTGTTTTATAAGACACATTTTTCTTTTTAAATTGCGCAAAAAATATGATAACTTTCTTAAATTGCTTTCCACTAACTTTTTACTTTCTCACTATATTATTTCACCATTTACTTTGTGTGGATTCATTTTTCTCTTTCTTACTTTGTGGAGGTTAGAATGGTAAAACAACAACTTTACCTTTTATTCTCTTAAAACTCACACCAAATCCACATGCATCTTACATTATGTGATAAATGTAATCAGGGCCGGCCATGGGGGCAGTTCACCTAGACATTTGTCTAGGGCCCCCAAATGTTAGGGGTCTCCAAATTTATACACAAGTCCATCATTATATATGTATATTTAGTTATAATTATAATTGTGGTTAAATTTCTAAGTCATAAATGTAAAAACATGACCCATTGAATCGACGGAAGACAGAAGAGGCCGAGACGACTAACGAGAGCAGTGGAAGCTCGAAACGACCAACCGTTTGGAGTTCCGGCTTGGCGATCCTGCCGACTAGGGAGATGTCAATTTGAGGTCTTCGCCTCGTCAGGCAATCAGGCTTCGGGTCTTCTAATCCTTCAGACGAGTCTCGGGGACAATCTTTAATTCTTCTAACTTATGAACAATTCTTCTACGCTTTTTTCAATGTATTAAGGGAAAAGGGGCAAATAAGCCCACGTACTAATAAAAAAAGGTCAAATAAGCCCTTATATAAGGAGCTGTGTCTGGCCGTCGTCATTTGGGGCAGTTCTCGGTGGATTTTTTTGATGAAATGGTTTGAGAATCTTATTCATTAAATCTAGTTTACTCATACCAAATTTCAGCTAACAATTCAATTGGAAGGGCATTCAAATAAATTCTTGAAGATAACTGTGCTTTTAAGTGCGCAGTTATCTTCAAGAATTCATTTGAATGTCTTCCCGATTGACGTTTTAGCTGAAATTTCGTATGAGTAAACTAGAATTAATGAATAATATGCTCAAAAAATTGCATCAAAAATTTTCATGTAAGGGCTTATATAACGGCCTCAAATGACGACGGCCGAACATAGCCTCCTATATAAGGGTTTATTTGACATTTTTTTTTGGTATTACGTGGGTTTATTTGCCCCTTTTTTTCATGTATTAATGTACTGGGCCACTAGTTTTTAGTCGGTCAGGGACTGGGCCACTAGGAGTAGAATGTATTAGTGTACTGCGTATTGATATATACTACGTATTTGTGATTATATTAAAATATAATAAAATCTTAAATGTATTTGTATATATATGACACCAACTGACTAATTGTTCAAGTATAATTGTATTGTTATATAAAGTATTGATTTACACTTAACATTCACTCAAATTATCTAATTATTTATGTCGTTGTGTAAAACAATAATTGATTATAATAATTATATGTGTGAATGTTTTAAAATTTATAAAAACACAATATAGTTGAAATTGTGTGATTGATTAGATGGTCAGGTGGATTATTTTTTTATTAGTAAATCATTTACTTATCTATTACTCTGTATTACTTTGTACGTAGTATTATTATGCACTTAATATAAAATTACAGGTTTTGTTATTTCCAATTGACAATGTTCTTACTAATTTTTCTCTTCAAAAAGCTAGAAAAGTAAAATGTTTTCTTGTGGATTAAAATTTCCTGATCTGGTCTGATTTGGTTTGTTGCAATCTATCTTGTTCTGATCTGAACACTAAAAAGAGTCCAAAAGAAAACACCTTGAACTATAAGTATCCGTGAAATTTTTGGTCAATTTTGGATCATTTGATTTTGAAGTACTCTCTTTATATTAATAGGAGCCGTATATGCTGCATTTTGTATGTAATTTACTTGATATTATATTTTTATATTGTTAAGCCGAATAAATTATATATTTAAATAAAATGTCTATTTGACTATCTAGGGCCTCCAAAATGCTCTAGACGGCCCTTAATGTAATACTCATTAAGATTTATGATTGATATTCAATTGTTTTAAAATGAGAATATGAAAATAAGTTAAATACATTAACATACTCAACAAATCGAAAAAGTGGGAAGATTAATAGAGAAAAAATGACACATATATTACTAACAGAGTCTCAAGATAAAAAATGATTAGGCATTGTGTACGAGTAACTTGATAACAATCACTGTAAACTAGTTGTGTCACTTTTTAAAATTTTTTAAAATAAATCATATTTTTATCTTTTAAATTTAATTGAGTAATATTCCCCACAAAGGAGTATTAATAAAGTATCAACATGGAACCATTTGGTTTAAGATGACCGTCTTGACCCAATCCAAAATATGTCTTTATTATATTCCGTCATCCAATTCCTTTCACGAGATCTGTGGAAATTTCATATCCAAAGTGGGCCCATATCTTTCTTGTGGGCACGTTTCTAGCTTTCCTTCGGTTTCCACCAACTTGGAGCCCAAGAAAGCAGAGCATTTTCAAATTGGGAGGAGAAGAAAAACTGAAAATGGAAAGCACGGGGCTGCCCGTAATGACGCCAAGTCATTAACTTCAACTTCAGAGGAGAAGGCGAAGATGGCGAGAATAGGCGTACGGAATTTGGCATCGCTAGCAGGCCGGAGCTTGAGCTCGTTTCCCCGCCGGCCACTTAGTTTATGTAGCTTCTCCACGAAGCAGTTGACGCCACCGCCGGCTTCCAAAGCCGGCATCGTCTCTTCCAGCACGGCAGCTGGACTGGTCGAGGATCTTCTGTTTGATGATGTAGTCTCTAGACCTTCTAAGTCTGATACTGTTCCGACCCCGCTCCAACCTGGCGTGGTCGTGTATGACGGCGTTTGTCATCTCTGTCACAAAGGTAAATAGGTAATCGGAATATCATATAATGGCGTTTGCCTGTTCGATTTGTACATTGTTTGCTGGTTGAAACAAATGATCTGCTGCTAATTCGTGTTGCTACTGCTTTCTATGTTTGTTGCGCGCAGTATTTACTTAATTTGTCGTAACCAAGCTGAATGTTATGGAGGAGTAGAGGACTTTTAGAATAGGCCATGGTATTATGTTTTGAACACAGCCATTTTTGCAGTACTGTATGAAGAAGAAAACCTTGTTTCTCAATATAAAACTGCTCTGACAAATTGTTTAAGAGAGCCATTTTGTATGTTTAAGGATAACTTTTAACCTGTAAATTCAAAGGAGCTTGCTAAATTGATATTTAAAACTTTAAACTATTGCAGTTTTCTTGTTAATCGGTATGATTTAATGCATCATAGATGTATTGCATTAAAAGATGAGTCATGGAAGGGGATATATGTAGTGAATCTGGCAGATCCACACAATAGCAGTTTGGTTATAATCTATTCATCAAAGTGTTGACGCCATCTACTGACTTAAGGTTAGGCCTCAAGCTGTCTGTGCTGATGTATTCGACTACATTGATTATTTGATTGTAGGGGTGAAGTGGGTGATTGAAGCAGACAAGGATAGGAAGATTAAGTTTTGTTGCCTTCAATCAAAAGCTGCTGAACCATACATGAGTTTGTGTGGTGTTGATAGAAATGATGTGCTTCGCCGATTCTTGTTCATTGAAGGCCCAGGTCTATACTATCAAGGCTCTACTGGTTAGAAACAAATCTCTCCAAATTACCAACTCCCCCTTACATGCCTTTTCCCATCATTTCATTTGATCCATGATTGTCACTTTTCAGCATCCTTTCACTCTCTTGTTATCTGTGTCTATGTTGAAGGAATCATCTTGAATTTGCTTTGTTTGAAACCTTTTGTGTGCATGAGATAAACCATATCTGAATCATAAAGTAGGCATGCAATGGTAGTTAATTTGTTTGGTGAATTGGCAATAGAATCAAACAGTCAGCAGCGCCTTCATGTACTTTTTCCGTTCCCGGGAAAGTTTTGAAGGGGGAAGTTCTTTCCCCTTAATTGAGTCAATTCAGAGAGTAATATGTGGTCTATTGAGACTATTCTTATTTTTTAATTGTATATGTTTAATTTGGAAAAGCATTAATACATCCAAGCATTATATTCTTAGAATGAAAGGTAGCGCTTGTCCTCCCTTCGAATGTAAACCCCTCCAAAACAGAACTCCCAGCATCCCCTAAAATAACCTACCATGCATGGTAGGTTATTTTACTTTTCTTGTTTTTTTGCTGACATGGTGATATTTACAGCAACTAAAGATCTCAAGTTTAGTGTTCCTGCCTGTTTCTATCGCCTTTCTTTTGCTTGTTTCTATCCCCCTCTTGAGGATATACATTACATATTGATTGATCTATCTTTGAACACTACCACTCAGAAAATGCATGGAGCAGATATTTAACTTACTAGCACTTGCGTGTAGAACTTCTCCTAGTGCACTTGCCCAATGAAATAATTTTATTAGCCTCTAACATTTACTAGTTTCATTCTTCAGTTCAATTCTTTTCCTGGTAAAAAAAAGTTCAATTCTTTGTTCAATTTTTTAAGGTCAGGCATGTTTGGTTCCTAGAAAATGCTAGGGAAAGGTAAAATGGTTGCTATGATATGTTATTTATAATGTTCGATTTTACCTTGGACAATGTAAATGAAAACGGAATGTGATTATTTGTACAATATTTTTTTACATACATTTAAATTACAGCCTTGAGCCCGTCTTTTATTTCATTCATATTTTTCCTGTATGATTCATTCCCTCTCTAGTTTGACATTTCCTTTACCTAGATTTTTTCAAGTTCCAAACGGAGTCTGAATGTTCTGAGTTGTAGTGCAGCTGCACTTAAGGTTTTGTATCATTTGCCATGGCCATACCCAGCACTAAGTGCATTTATGGTTATCCCCACGCCTCTAAGGGATGCTGTCTACGACTATGTGGCAAAGAGACGCTATGACTGGTTTGGGAAAGATGAGGATTGCTTAGTTCTTCAGGAGAAAGAGTTGCTGGACCGTTTTATTGATGCAGAAGAGTTGCTTAAACGTCACCGATCTTCTTGAATAATTCTTGACTTCCAAGTTTGTGTAGGCTGCCTTTGTATGCGTCCTTGAATAATATTGTTATCCTTGTTATTCGGGTTCATTGTAATCTTTCATAATGGGAACACCACGGTCTTACAATGTACATGCATGCGTTCTGTGTTAACATATATACACTCTCGGAGTTATTCCATTAAATAAATAGTGAACTGAGTCACTGAAATGGACCAAGCCTAAAATGAGTAGAGTGGTGGACCTAAGGACCTTTGAGTTCACGGAAACAACCATATTTATACAAACCAGGCTAGATTTGCCGAGAAACCGCATGTAAACACACAAGACCACATATACACTAGATTAGACACAAACATCAGAGTATCAGACCACACTGAACTTAGCCAAAACCAAACCAAATTAATCAACTTAGAGCAGACTAGTAAGTTCCTATCCAAATAAACAAATGAGCTTGAGCTAGGTTGGGCACAAGCTGCCCCACACCCACCCACACACACACAAATAACCAGTTATGGGTACAAGGTCTAGGACTTCAGTTTCCCATTGAACAAAGCCGGTTGGTTAGGCCCTAGTTTAGTTCATGTGAGTACTATATACATAAGTAAGGTAATGTTAAATTTCAGGCAAGATTAAAAACATCTAGATCAGAAAACTCAGATCAGATCACACTTTTTGAATCAAATAGAGCTAAGTTCTCAATAAAATTTATTGCCCGCAACTGTGGAGTTAAAGGTGATAGGACATTCTAAAGCCATGGTAGTCGATAGCGCAATATGGCGCGCGCACCATGCGCCATGTGGCGCGAAAAACCCTCTGCGCTATGAAAAGGGGCTGTGACGAGGTGTATACACATGGCGTCGCCATTCCTGCGCCTTCGCCATTTGGGCGCCATCGCCATGGCGTTTGCGTCGTCCAGTAGTCGTCTAGGCTCGATGTTGGCGAAGAAATCCTCGACTTATTCACAAGTCGAACCGCAGTGGCAGGCCCAGAACCAGATAAAATAGATTTAGGCCTTAATTAGGGCTAATTTAATTAAGGTTTCAGGCTTTAAATTAAAAGCTAAGCCCAAACTAATCTACCTTACGGACCATTCGTTGCCCAAAGTTGCACGTAGGAAGCAAACAACTAAGACGAACTCACATGGTCGCCCTCCCTCAGTCCCTCGCGGAATCAGAGCAGCAGAGGAACTTGCAGACTTCCCAGTTCCCAGGTCCTTGATCTTTGGCTTCAGTTTTTATTTTATTTTAAATTGTAATTAATTAAGTTGTGTATTTATAATTTTGTTGTTGTAACCTTGTTTTTGTGTGTGCGTTTTAACTGTGATACTTCTATTTTAAAATAACCTTCTATGATATACTTCACATTTTGTTTTGATTAGTTTTTTAATTTTAATTCTCATTAATAAACCTTGTTTTCAATTATTAATTGTGAGTTTCTTTTGCAATTTTTTTCATTAATTGTGAGTTTCAATACTAAGTTATATACAATATAGAATTATATATATAGTTATAAATATATAGCTATATATATAAATATATAGTTTTATATATATACATATATATATATATATATATATATATATATATATACACACACACACACACATAAACCCTAACAAAAAAAAACACTAACAAAACCTTACTATTTTAGCTCATAATACTAACAACAACCCTAACTACAAATAAATAAACACAACTAACATAAACCCTAACTACTATTTTTGCAAGACACAAACTTTTTTTTGAATATTACTCCCTCCGTCCCATAATTAACTTCGGTTTTGACTGGACACGGGGATTAAGATAGTGAGATTTGTGTGGTGTAAAGTTGTGCAGAGGAGAGAGAAATGTGTAAGAATGATTGTGAACCACATATTCTTTATCAAAAAAGGAAAGAAGAGATAAATTTGGGACGGACCGAAAAGGAAAGAATGAAGATAATTTCGGGACGGATGGAGTATGTTTTTTGGAAGTACATTGAACTATTTTATCATGTTTTGGTGGTTGGGTAAACTTGGGTTGATGAATTGCAGTATCTATTTTGAATATTATGTTTTTTGTCACGTGGCGACGCCATATTTGCGCCATCGCCATCGCCATGGAAAATGGCCTGTGCGCCATGGGTTGCGCCATGCGGCATGACAACTATGTCTAAAGCTTACTCAAGACCAAACCTACATTTTCCTCAGGGAAAACGATAAAAATACAGGAAACATCTATCCACACAACCAACTACTCCACAGATGGAAATGCATCAACAAATTGAATATTGAACTTGAGAAATACAGCATAGATCATGATCATCTCTCTATTTTGATCGGGTCGTGAGCAGTGTTTGATTTTTCCAACCTACCCTGTTCTAAGCAAATCCAACAAAACTCCTTAAACATTACTGCTTTCATGAGAACCTGATACTCGATATACAACATACTTCAACTCAACTGCTCCCTTTGTCATTCCACGCATTCCAATCATTATCGATGTTCTTTTGGGCCCATTTAATTGCTTTGCGTCCAGCTTGTGGGCCCCCAGGCAACCCCCTCTCCGTTATGGTATCGTTCATGTCAATGAAGGGTACGACCATGAGTGTTCCTGGACCACCATACTCCGTGTGGAGGAATTTGCTAAGGATCTGTTCAAAGACATCCCAATTTTAAGGAAATCAAGACATTATTTAATGCAATACCATTTGATTATCACAGTTCAACATAAAAAGGATATTGGATTTTTTTAATCATAAACATGGAAATGAATCTCAGAGCTCACTACATCTGGTATGTTTGGATCAATATCTTTGCTAAAAAACTTACCTGAGGGTTGATTTTGAGCAGCATGACATCGGCGATTTCATTCTCAGCATCATCATTATCAACGCATCCATCTTCTTCTTCTTCTTCTTCTTCAACTAAAGGGACTTCCCGGGATTCCTCTTACTCGTGTAAATATAGCCTTCTTTGGTGAAAGAATCCATTAAAGCTGTCTACTTCACCGAGAAGAAGCAGGCAATCGGAGAAACCGCACAACCTCATTTGCAGGGCTGCTGAGTACAAATTCCCCGACCCAATTCCCGAATTTGCCAATTCTGTCAGTTCTATCCTCGTGAACCCAAACACCATTTGTTCCTATACATTTTTAATACAAACTTATATTCGGTAAAGTTTTCATCTTTGCAGGAAACAGAGAAGTTCCGAGCTCATCTTCTTGAGAAGCTTCACAGGAGGAAGGAATTATATGGTGATTCCATTGAAGAAATTGTTGGTATCTGCACGGAGGTACCCGTTTCTCTGCGCTGTCGTTTTACGAAATCCTGAGATTATTCAATACAAAATTTTCATTCCTGCAATTTTTGCCATCTTATCTTATTTCTTGATTAAAGTACCCTTTTCTAATATTTAAAGATTGGATATATGCCTTTTACAATTTTCTCTGCATTTACTAACACTAAATTTCATGAATATAAACATTGGCTTAATTCTCGATGGGAAGTCAATCATTGTGCCTAATTGAGTAATCGAGTAATGGGTCACACTCAAGATAATACTTCTGAAGTTGTACATTATGTGTTTTATTTTGAGCTTTTCACTAATCGAATACAAGTAACTTTTAGTGACTATGCTTGTGTTCAAAGTTTACATTATAATCATTACATCATAGTCACTTTGAACACATTTATAGTCACTAAAAATTATCAATTCACATTTTGTCCACCACTTTTCTAGAACTAGTATTAGTGGAATTTCTTATTTTACTATTACTATTGTTATTATTAATATGGATGGGGTCTTATATGATCCATTCTAGTCTATTAAGGTGTAGCCTGGTGTGATATGACAACCTAGTTTGATTTGGCGAACAAGTTCTAAATTTGAGACACGTAAATAGGTAGCGAAGGGAGTTTTTAGCCCTTAAGCAACTACTCAGGATCGGTTTGGATGAAGGGTATTGGGAGACTTGGTTTATTTAAATCTTGACAAGTAAAGTGAGGAGAGTAGAACTTTTGGAAAACAAACACAAAGTTACTGATCGTCATTTGCACAACTTGTAGGATATTCAATTATCCTATGTTCTACTCTAATTATCGAATGTTATACTCTCCCTCCCAATTTGTTTAACAAAACTTTCTATTTTGGTTATCCCAAAGTGTTTTTCCACTTTAGGTATGTAAATAAGAATAAAATGACAAATTTACCTTTACTTTTTACTTTTTTCCATTAACTAAAAGGCATTTACTTTAGGAAGAACGAAAATGTAAAAAGCAAATAACATTTATTGTCTATCATTAATCCTTGTGCCGGTCAAAATTTGCAATTCAATTCGGGACGGAGGGAGTAACTATTACTCTCTCCGTCCCGTAACTTTGTCCCGTTTTACCTTTTTCGTCCGTCCCGTTAAGTTTGCCTCATACCATATTTGGTAATATTTGGGTGGTTACAATTCATTCTTTCTTTATTCACACTTTATTAATTCAATATCAACCACACAATTACATTTTTTCTTAAAAATTGTGTCACACCCCTTTGTCCCAAACATAGTGGGACGGAGGTAGTACAACAATAACCACATAAACCAAAATATAAGCACAAATTAGTACTCCAAAAGATGATGATTCTTCGTCTGTATTCCATGGCGTTGGTTAGTTCATAAAAGAAATAGCCAAAGTTTTAATCATATCGTATGAATAGTTCACGATGTTCATTAGTATTTCTCACTACTGTGGCATGCTCCGGGTGTTACACTAGTTGTCTGTTGGGATATTGGGCCGAAGGCCCAATACCCGGCCCAAAGGGTATTGGGGAGAACGGGCCCAGGAAGAAATGTAACCCGAACGGGAACCGAGGGTCCATAAGAGTTCACTCGGGTCGTGAATGGGGAACGACTCACATGATATACTTGAGGCAGATTGACGGGACACCAGACATGACCGTCATTCCGCTGCCCGAACGGGCAACCTGCAAGTGGCAAAGTGCATTAAATGCTAGAGTATGGCATCAGCAGAGACAGGAGATACGAAGGCCGAACTGAAACGTTTCGAGCAAATTCTGTTGGTGGCATCTGTCTCCACCCCCCCCCCCCCCCCCACAGAAGAAGAGCAGGATTGAACCCATCACGCCTGGACCTGCCGACCTGCCTACATCACCAAGTCCGCACAGGGACGCACTGGTGGTGAGTATGTGTATCAATGATGCTCTTGTTCACCGGGTGTTGGTGGACACAGGAAGCAGTGTTAACGTCCTGTATTTACGAACGTTCGAGGCCATAAATCTGAGGAAGGATCAGTTGGAACCCCTGAAAACACATTTGGCGGGATTAACGGGGATCGGAACTGCATTGATGCAGAAGGAACCATCTCCCTTATGGTCGAAATTGGGGATGAGGCGCATCGAGCTGCTATCCATATGACGTTCGTGGTTGTAAACATTGACTGCGCCCACAACGCCATACTCAGCCGACCGAGCTTGGAAGATTTGGAGGCGATCGCTTCCGTTCGGCACTCTTGTATAAAATTCCCGCCGATACCGGTGTGGGGGTAGCCCGAACGGATCCAACCACGACCCGAATTTGCTATCGGGAAACAATGAAAAAGATGAATACCCGGGCCATGCGCGTTAACAGCATTGAGGTGGAGGCTCAAACCTCGGAATTTGTGCCGCGCCCCGAGCCGACAACATTGTTAGAACAAATTGCGCTCGACTCGCCCTCTGACCGAAGGGTCACGATCGGGATGGATCTGGAACCAGAGATCAGTGAAGGAGTGATTGTCGCACTAAGGGAATTCCAGATCCTGTTTGCACGAGGTCCGGAAGATATGCCGGGCATCGACCCGGAAATTATTTGCCACAAGTTGGCCATTCGGCCGGTACAGCAGAGGAAAAGGTACCAGTCAGCCGCACGGCGTGAGTTCACAAAGGCAGAGGTGGCCACACTTATGAAGATCAAGCATATTAAGCCAGTCATACATGTGGAATGGTTATCCAATGTGGTTCTGGCTCCGAAGGGGACAACCTGGAGGATGTGTGTGAACTATTCCGACCTGAATAAGGCATGCCCAATGGATCCCTATCTAGTACCCAGAATTGATTTACTGGTGGACAAAACTGTGAGGTGCGAATTGCTGAGCTTCATGGATGCCTTTCGGGGGTATCACCAGATCTTCATGCACCCAGATGATGCGGAGAAAACACCGTTCGTTACCTTGGACGGTGTATTCTATTATATCGTTATGTCGTTCGGGTTAAAAACGCCATGGCCACATTTCAAAGAATGATTGGGATGCTGTTCAAAGAGGTCTTGGGGGTCACCATGGAAGCATATGTGGACGACATCCTGATCAAAAGCAGGAAGAAAGAGGAGCATGTTCAGGATATGAGGAAGGTGTTTGAGATCATGAAGAAAGTAAACATGAGGTTCACTACTAGATTTTTTGTTATTTGCTGCTGCCTATTTGCTGCAGTTATAGGAACATCCGCAGCAATATGTTAACATTTTCAAATATTTGCTGCGGTTTTTGGATACCCGCATCAAATAGTCCTTAATTTTTTAAAAAAATAACCTTTTGCTGCGGGCTTTGAGCAACCGCATCAAATAATCACCCAAAATCAGCACTTGTGGTTGCGAGTCATATTCAACCGCAGCAATAACTGGTGATATCTTTACCTAATTTTACATATACAGATACAATTTCTTTACAAGAGTAACACAAGGGGGATAGGAGCTCTGGCAACACGGGAGAAAGCTGGCATCACAGGCGGAGATTTGCTAGGCAAAACAACCAGAGACCAGGAAAAGTCATCCTCCATATTGTTCGCTTTAATCAAATTTCACTTCTCAGGTCACGACAATGAGCCATCTCAACGAAAACTCACCAGTGAGATCTGCAATCGGAACTCAAATCAAACGAAGACGGAGCTCAACAGTGACAACGACATCACAATAGGAGCCCTTTCTGACCAGCGAAGGACCAGATCGACCTCAGATCAGCGCACTAGGGATTTTCCTATTTCGCAACCCAGATGCGATCTGCTACCAAGGGTTATCGCTGGAGACGACGACCAGAACCCGTCCCCTACTACGACAGCTATTCCAGAAGTCATCGCAATCAGAGGAGACCCTCTCAACCGGTGGCAGTGAAGATTGAATAACGGCGATGGCAAACAGTCTCAGAGTGTATCCACTGCTCGACATAGGCAGAGAGCAGCTCCTAGAGTGACTGCGCAGGGTAATTTGGCTAAGCAAGACCCCAGGAACTTTAGGTAATTTTGTTAGGCCCTAGATTTTGTGTAAACAGTTTTGATGATGCCAAAGCTTTTCAAATGTTCCCCCTTCTTTTGTAGCATTAGGAAATCAAACGTGCTGTATTTTGTTTCAACCAAGTGCCAGCAAAGTGATATCCGAATGTGTCTCATTTGTATTATCAATTAACAAATAAATATAACTGGAAAAACATAAAAAGCAATAAGGTAATCCTCATTATCTTAAAGAGGATTTCTTATAGATCCAACCAGTTATATTTATTTACAAAAAAAAGAAAAAGAAGACACTAAGACATTTCGAATAAGTAAACTATTCGACTGGAACACAAAAAGTAATAAGGTAATTTTTTGTACCTTAATAGGATTTGTTATCCTACCAGTTGAATGTTTATGATCGAAATACTAGCTGGGCCAATCACAACCAAGTATGACCAGAAGTCAAAAGAAAAATGTATGTATCAAATAAATTATACCGGAAAAGAAAAAATGCAATAAGGTAAATACTACCTTAAAAAGGATATTTAAATCCTACCGGTATATATTTATTTGATTACGAACATTTTTATCAAAAGGCATATTGGTGTGAAAAATGTGTCAAAGAGAGAACAAATAAATGTAAAATTTCTAAGACTAATAATATTATTACTGGACAGTAAAAATGCAATAAGGTAAATTTATTTACCTTTGATAGGATATTTAAATCCTACCAGTATAATTTTATTAGACTCAGAAATTGTTATGTTCGAAACAAATTTACCAAGGCGGGTAAAACAGAGCCAATAATTATCCAGCATGGAGAACCGATGTACAACATGGGCGCACAGTCTGAAGCCTAAGGAGAAATCTACAAGTGGCTAGGTGGGCAAAACAAAAAGATCCCATAAGCTTCGAAGAGGAAGATAAACAACAAGTTGTTTATCCTCTGCGATCAAGATTCAACGAACAAGATTAAATCATCTCAACCAACGGATGAGATTAATCTACCGGAGATGCCTATAAATGAAGGCCGAAGCATGAGTTAAAGCGATAAGTTTTTGAGTTCAAAGCAGAGAGATTCCATAAGCATTCAAAGAATATCTAGCAACTCTGCTTTGACTCATGCTTCACTAAGCTCTTAGAATAGATCATCATTGTCATACTTTTAGAGCTTAGTTCATAGTTGGAGACTAGAAGTTCCTTGTAATTCACAAGGTGTTGTAAAACACTTCTGGAGGACAGTTGTTCCCGGCCTGAGTGTGGTTAGATAGGCCAGGAGTACCTTTTGATCCCCACTGGATCAATTGAGAAAAACCTAAAGGATTGAGTAGCTTGGAGTGGTGTTGTACTCCTCGTGAAACACCTTCAATCTAGGCCAGAGTTGTCAAGGCTAGATTGGCACTAAGTGTATTGGGCTTAATACATTAGTGAAATCCATTTGAAATAGGATGGGGCTGGATGTAGGAGGATTACACCACCTCTGAACCAGGATATATTGTGTGTTGATTTACTTTCAGTCAACAAAGCACACACTGAACACTTCTCACATAAAGATTGGAGTTTGCCAGCAGCATCCTAAGCAGTTGTCTTAATTGACTCAACTGCATATCCTACTGCTTAATTACTCACTCTCTTTGAGATACAAGAAGTCTCACAATATCATCTTTAAAAGGTCTGCCTTAGTCAGAGTTCAGGAAATACTACTTACGGCATGGCAGTTGCCTCAACAGTCTCCTAAGGACTACTCAACTGTTGAGCCCACTGCTTACACAAAAGTATTTCCTGTAAACTTCTTCACACCACCAGACTTTTACATCTTTATCTCTAAGAAGTCTATTCAAAATAATCTCTGTGATTCAGGGTGATAACCCAGCAGGTACCTCTACAGTTCCCTCACCATCACCGAACTGCCTAAGACCACTGCCTAAGTAAAACCCTCTACTTACTTGGCCTAAAGCACATCTTCAGAAAGCCTACATCATCCTGAGCTACACCATATAATCAAACCTTCCATACCTTCACCATTACTTCAGCAGGTGCCTCAGCAGTTCCCTGGTATCCACCCAACTGCTGAGACAACTGCTCTCATTTAAGGTTAATTATCAATCCACCTCAGTACATCATCAGGAAGCTCTTCCCACTCCCAGAAAGATTCTGAATGAACCCTCATCATACGTCAAGTATTTGGTAAGCAGACGACTAAGCAGTTCCCTGCTTCCTAGCCAACTGCCTAGCCAACTGCTCACCAATAAACAAAGACTTCATCCATCACAGAAAGCTGTTACACATTACATAAAGGGTAAAGACTTCCGCTGTGCATCTATTAATCTCTCAAAAGATTATAGATCAACTCTTCTAGAGGGAAATATTTGTAAAGGTCGAAAAGAATTAAAAGTCTATTCACCCCCCCCTCTAGACTTTTACCCTATCCGGGACCATCAAATTTGGCTAAGCAATTCCCTTTACCATAACATGTGTAACTTGGGATAGAATTAGAAAGCAAAAGTTGGAGGGGTCTTTCATAATATGTGTGCCTAAGTCAATGTTGCAGTTATTTCCCAATACAGGATATTATTCTTTTTTATGAAAGTTTGAGGATATAGTAAGAATAATAGTTGAAATTTGAAAATCAGCTTATGGTTCCTTACTCAAATTAGACTCGAAAAGTAGTAACCAACATTAGCATTGCAAGTTTTTATAGCTTTGACTTCAATTCTGATTTCGGTGTTAAGAGTGGTGATGAAATTCATAATAAAGTCATAATCCCTAATCTCAAAAAAACAATTGATTTTTTATCATGTTAAGCAATGGAGAAACTTTAGGTATCACCCTGCAGATCCTTTTCTCCAGACAGCAACTGGGCTTAAAATCAATATTGAAAGCAAATCTTTTTGTTTCCATATTGTTGATCGCAATACTATTAATATTACGGAATCAAAATATGGAATTTCTTCTAGTATTGAGTTTGATATTGATGAAATCACTGGGCTAAAGGATTCCATTACTATATCTTATTTCTCAGCTCATTTTTCTTTGATATTCCATGTAATTAAATAGCACATTACTTTATACCATTTCTAATGCTCTATCTCATAAGACTTGCCAACTTTTCATTTTCCATGTCCTTAAAATGTTGTCATTTTCCATTTAAAGTAATGAATTTGTATTTTAACTTGTTTCCATTTAATGACGTTCTATTGTTATCAAATTTAGAGGACCTATGGCTAATGACTATACAGTCTATAATGGGTAGCATTCTTAGAGATCATATGGCAGCTACATTACTTATTATATGCTTAGTACTCCGACCATTAGTGTCCAAAATGTGGAGATGAATGCTATATTGTTGGAAACAGTAAGGGCAATTGCTCTTGTTATTATTTTTTTTATACATCGGAAAAGTGTATATAAAGCCATTAAAACGACAACAAATGCTATAATTGTTTATTTGATATAATTATACTTCTATATCTGTGCAATTGTGCATTTTTTAAAACATTGATGCATATCCATTGGTGATGACATCATGTGTTAAAGAGAAATGTGTTGCATAGTCTTAGAACTGTTAGCAATGGACTGAGTGGTTCATTTTGACATCAGAGTCCACCTTCTCATTTCAATCAATTGTCTCTACTTCTATGCCCCTTTTCCTTAAGTTCATATTCCTTTTTGCATTTCAAAATGGGGAAATGTTGTTTTTGTTTTACATTTTTAAAAGTCACTTATGCTTAGTTTCATATTTGTTTGCACTCTTCCCTTTGCTATTGTCACTCACAGTTATTTGGTTCTAGGAAATGCATGTAGTAAATTGTTTTTGCTGCAGGTTGCAGTGAAGAAAATGAAGAGAAAATTTTACAAGCGGGATGAGTGTATAAATCTACAAGAAGTGAAGGTGTGCAACTGTTCAATTTTCTCTCATTTGAAAATACACTTGTTTGTAAAATTATGTGTTGTGATAATCATAACTCATAACATAGGTGTGGTAACTGGTAATTAATATCTGGTGTGTATTTTTTGCAGTCCCTTTGTAAACTGAGTCATCCTAATATCATCAAGTTGATAGAGATTGTTAGAGAGAATAATGAGCTATTCTTCTTGTTTGAGTACGTACATAGTTGGTGTGGTTTATATACTCTTATACTTTATTTTCTTTGTGTATGGATTACTCATTAAGCGATGTGTCTTCCCAGTAATGAAACATTCTTGGATATCTGTTGAAGATCATTTAATTGTGAATCAAGTTTGTCACCTATCTTGTAATAGATTAGCTTTATTATATCCTTGTATTTAATATTTGTATTTATTAGGATAAAGATATGGGGCCAATGTGTCAAGCTCATATCAGGCTGAAAGCCTTTCCGCCAACCCTATACCTGCGCATATAAAAAGGCTCTTCAGGTTTAGGGTTGCGTTAACTTTCTTACTCATTCCAAATAGCCTTAGCGCAAATTCTTCTCTGTACGAGTTCACGGTATATCAAGGAAGGTTATCATCGATCATCTTGTGTTCATCTTTTCTGTTAATCTTCTACTTGTTATACTGTTTATCTTTGCTGTAATAGAAAACAGGGACTAACAAATGGTATCAGAGCCGATCGAGAGCTGATCAGAAGAACGTCTGCAGAAAACCTCTGTGTTTCTTTAAGCTTTTGTTTCTCTCGAGTTCTTACTCTGTAATCTTGTTTCTTGTCGAAAAGTTGTAAAAGTTATACCTTTAGAATCGTCGTTTCGAAGCGATCAAGGTGTATACTTCAGATTTGTTTTTCTGTAAAATTTTTACTCGAGATATCTCGAGATCTAGATGTCGACATCTCTGTTTTGAATAGGTTCTGCCTAGTTTTTCGAGCTGAAAACTTCACCTGAGGATCTCGACATCATACTCTACCAGAAACTACCCTCAGATTTTGCTAACCTGAGTTTTTCACTTTGCAGGAATTCGACATTGAGGATCTCGACATCCAAATCTCGAGATCGAGGTTTCGATTTTTAAGGTCTCGACTTCTGGTCCTCGACTTTTGATATCTCGAAAACATATCTCGAGTTTCATTTCTCGATTTCTCAAATCTCGAGATTTGCTTCTCGACATTTGAAATCTCGAGATTTCAAAACTCGACATTTGATATCTCGGTATCAAATCTCGATATTGGGCCTCATTTATCGAAATCTTGAATCTCGATATTCAGATCTCGACATCTGAATTTCGATATTCTGTCTTTGAAAATCTTTTGATCAAATATCTCGAACGGTCAGTTTTCTACAGCAATGACTTCTGAATACAATGCCCAAGGGAACAGCAGTACTCCTCCCAGTCTAAGGAAAGGAGAATATCAGATGTGGAGGAATCGATTCCTAAATTTCCTCGAACACAAAGAAAATTCCGCTGCAATGCTTGAATCACTGCTTGAAGGACCAGCTGAGCTGATGATTTCAGTTGGAGGAGATCCAGACAACAACCCACCTATCCCTCTAGAAAGGAGACGGAAAGTGGCATCTGAATACACCGAAACTGACAAGCTCAGACTTAGAGGTGATCTCATTGCAAAGACTTACCTCCTTCAAGCCATTCCAAACGAAGTATATGTACTTATTGACAGCATGCAAACTGCAAAGGAGATATGGGATGAGATTGAGAAACTGCTCCAAGGCACAAGCGTCAGCCTGAAAACCAAGAAAACAACCATCCTTATTGCCTATGACTCCTTCAAAGCTGCCCCCGGAGAACCATTGAACGAGACATACAACAGACTCGTCCAACTGGTCAATGAACTAAGGAAGATCAAAGTATTCAGGACCAACTTGGAACTGAATATAAGATTTCTATCCAGCTTACATCCTGCATGGGAAAAGACAGTAAAGGATGTCAGATCACGCATTGACTTGGATGAAATTGATCTCTGCACTCTATATGAAGACTTAAAGCAATTTGTCAATGAGGTTGCTTGTGCCGAAGATCAACACAACTCAAATCCCCTGGCTCTAGTGATGGAAGCTCAGCCCCGAAGGACAACCACACCACTGAAAAAGAAGAAGAAGAAGGTGGTGGTTGAATCAGATGAAGATGAGAGTGATGATGACAAATCAGACCTGGAGGCTGAACTTGCAGACCTACAGAAGAAAATGGCACTGCTTGCCAAGAGGTTTGCTAGAAAGAACAACTCCTCCAACAAGTTGAGAACCTCCTCATCAAATTACAAACAGAAGAACCATGATCAAGGATCTTCTAGAAAGGCACCAACAACTGAAGATGCCCCCAAATGCTACAACTGTGGAAAGGCTGGACATATCATCAAAGACTGTCGCCTGCCAAAGATGAGGGATGCAAACTTCTACAAGCAGAAGATGTTGTGGAATAAGCAAAAGATGCTTATGGTGCAGAAGGAAGAAGAAAATTCTACAGTGCTTGCTGAAAATGATCATTGGGCAGAAGACACTTCTGATGAGGAGGAGGAGGAGGAGGAGGAAGAAAACTATGCCTTGATGGCTCGAGTGGAGGAAGAGGATGAAAGAAAGGGTGATGCTGCGATCCCCGGAAGTGAATGCTCTACAAGCTCTGTAAGTACCTCTTATCTCCCTTGCAATAATCAAAATCAGTCCTTACTTGATAAGGACAATCTTATTAAAGAACTAAAGGAGAGATTAGACAATAATCACAGGGTACTGAAACAGAATCTTGACCAAAAGTCTTCTCTAAGTGTTCAACTTGAAATTGCAAAAGAACAGGTCAAAAAGGTGTCCTCAGATTTTGAAAGTTTTGAACTTAAGATAGCTGAATTGACTAAGAAATTTGAGGACAGTGAACGAGAGAAAAGCACAGCAAAGGCTGAATGCGAATTTTTGCAAAAATTAAAGAAGAACACTTTTAAACAAAGTAAAAGAACTAGAGGATCTAGCTGCCAGGAGAGGTCAATCTGAACAGACAATTTTTCTAAATCAAATAAAGGATGACCGGTTCTACAATCCTAGAACAGGACTGGGCATAACCAACCCACGTAATCTAAAGAAAGTTGACTGTCTTAAGATTTATAACAAAGATTACATGGGACTAGGGTTTGGTGAGAAAATGTATTTTAGAAGTGATGAAGAAAACGCAGAAGAAGAAGAAGAAGAAAAGAGAATGAACCCTAAGGCTGCGATTTCTTGTGATTATCCTTCTGTAAATGAAAAACAACTCACACACGAAGAACCTAGTTCCTGCTTTAATGAATGTCTTGACCCTTATGCAAAGGATATTCCACACATAGGACATCCTTTAGACTCACCCCCAAGAGTAGGTATCTCAAAAACTGGAGAGGAACCCTGTATTTTTTCAATGACACAAAAACTCAAAAACCTCCAGAAAACTCTAGACAACGAGAGAGAGAGATTTGAAACAGAAAGGAGAGGTTTTGAGAGTAACTGGCAGGAACTTCTTCACAAGTTCAATGAATTAAGTGAGCAATATCATGCTAAAATAACCTCTCAACCTGCTTCTAATAATAAGACAGTCAATTCTCACACCTCACCTGATAAAACTAAGCTTTCAAAAGGTTCGTCCACTCATCACTCTTCTCCTTTGCACACAGGACAAGAAGTGAAGAAGGAAGGAGAAGAGAAGGACGAGTGGAGGAAGGAAAGGAAGGAACTCGCTGAAGGCAAAAAGAAAGTTTTTGAAAATAAGACCAGCACTAGATCCAGTTCTATTTTGTACTCTAAAGTTAAATGTTATTCTGTCTCTGTCAAACAAACTCCTAGTAGTTCAGTCTTGAGTCCCAAGCTGAATATTTCTGAGACATCTTTTGGACATCGTTCAATTCATAATTCTAGTATTGCTTATGGTTATTCTGTTCCAGATTCTCATAATTATGAATGTGATGTGAATGTTGTTAAAGCCAAGCCTCACAGAAAGCTCAAACCAAAAAGGGAAACCGAGAACAGAACTTCTAAGGGAATATTTTGTATACCATATATGAAATATCCCCTCCGAATTCATTCAAGGAAACACCTTAATCGGCTTTCTAAGGAGGAAATTTTTAAAACACAACTTAAGAAACAACCATTCAATAACAAAGCACGTGTCTACTCTCCTGCCACAACAAATCACAGGTGGGTCCCCAAAAACAGACCCACCAAAACTGAAACTGAAAGGTGGGTCCCCAAAATCAGACCCACCAAGCCTGAAACTGAAAGGTGGGTCCCCAAATTCAGACCCACCAAAACTGAAACTGAAAGGTGGGTTCCCATAAACAGACCCACCAAGACTAAAACGGAAAGTTGGGTTCCCAAAAACAGACCCACCAAAACGGAAACTGCTAAGTTGGCTCCAAAAACCAGACCCACTGCAAACGCCGATCTGGCTGTTAGAGAGCCCGCGAGAGAAAAATCTTTTGTTGAGAAAGTTGTTGACCTTGGATCACAGCTAAAAGAAAGATTCAAAAAGGTGTTTTATGTTGATAAGGAAGGACCCATTCCAAGATGGGTACCTAAACATGTTTAATTGTTTTGCAGGACGGTCATGTGTGGCACTTGGATTCTGGATGCTCAACCCACATGACCGGAATAAAACACCTGTTGAGCAACTACACCAACTGTTACGGAGGCAATGTCAGATTTGGGAATGACGCCTCATCTTCTATTCTTGGATATGGGGATGTCATCTGTGCCAGTGTCACCATCAAAGATGTTTCTTTTGTCAAAGGGCTCAAACACAATCTACTGAGCATAGGGCAATTCTGTGACAGCGGGATGGAAGTGAGGTTCTTTGCAACACAATGCTGTGTACTAGACAGCATGGGTAACACATTATTAACGTGCTACAGAACATCAAATCTGTACACGATTGATCTGAAAAGCGTACAATCCACCACTTCCATCTGTCTGTTGTCCAAAGCTTCCACAGAACAGAACAACCTTTGGCACAGACGACTTTCCCATCTGAACTTCAAGCATCTGTCAATCCTGTCCTCCAAGAAACTGGTAAAGGTGCTTCCTCTGTTAAAGTCTTCCGCTGAAAATCATTGTAGTGCCTGCAAAATGGGCAAAATGACGTGAAGCTCCCACAAGCCAAAAACAGTTCCATCATCTACTCACCAGCTGCAGTTAATTCACATGGATCTGTGTGGATGTAACACCCCGGGGCCCCACACGGACCCGAGGTAGTTACTCTAGACCTCTAGTACTGTCCCCACAAACCACCACGAGCCTTTACCGCGCACTTTGTCCTCACTCATGCGCGCCCTGAGAAACTTCCCAGGGGGTCACCCATCCCAAGACTACTCCCGTGCAAGCACGCTTAACTTTGGAGTTCTTGGGTGATGAGCTCCCTTAAAAGGAGATGCACCTCTGTTGGTATGAGTAGTACTATTAATCCTCTTAAATTAATCTCGGGTATTACAGTGGACCTATGAGAGTCCAAAGCATGAACGGTCGCAAATACACTCTGGTGATCGTTGATGACTTCTCAAGGTACACATGGATGAAATCTCTTTGTACAAAG